ATAGCCAGGAAATGAAAAATAACATCCAAATGCTTTGGAGAGTGCAGCAAGGATTAGTTCGTCGAGCTCGAAAGTGTGTTAGGCAACTTGGTGCTCATTTTGAACAATTTTTGAAGTTATTATTTCCGTTTATTAGTTTTGTTGCCATCCTCATTTGTTACTGCTAAAAACAATAGCAACGCTACTCAGATATCCAAAGCGACTTGATTGTTATGTTATAAAGATGTTTTATCATCATGGTACAAATAATGCATTGGAATTTTAAAAACAAATATCTCGAAAACTGTTAGCTTCAGACACTTCTTAGAAGTAAACCTTTTTTTTGTAGAAATACGAGAAAATAATATTTTTCGGTTGGTTGTTGTATACAGGGTAGCACAAAAAAGTTAAGATAAGTTATTTATCAAAATAGTGCTGTAAGTAAAATAACGGATTCTTGTTTCTCATAATAGAAAACCTTCCTATATCGAGTTTTATGCCCAAATCTAAAATACTTCAAAAGCAATAAGGAAAAATAAAAAATAAAATTGTAGCTTTGACACCCTGTACGTCGGAAACTATCAACTTTTGGACAAACGTATGTTTAGGTCAAATCACATATTTTGGTCCACATAAGACCGAAACGGCAACGAAATAATATAATTCTGCATTAGAAGCTAATAGATACACCAACTTGTTTTAGGATGGCATCATGGATACTTGTCTTCCATTTAAATGAAACAATGATGTCCAGACAGAAGCTCTTCTACTCACCAAAGGAACATTATAACAGTTTGTAGATGATCACACAAGACGTAAACAGCTACAAAATAACATAGCTTCCGATTTAGCATTATAGGACATGCATGCATTCTCTGTCACACATTAATATAGAAGCACAAGTCTCTTATTTCAACAAGCGACACTCTGAATTCTAGTTAATGGGAGAAACGCACCGAATAGGGACATTTAAGAGGTTAAGAGCTGAATATACGGCATTTCGTATTCTGGCCACATAGAGAGACCGTAGTGGACACGAAATACCGACGGTATTTGCCAAGTCCCAGTTTTCCATTACCTTCAATTTGTAGAATAGGTCAGTCGATAGATTTTTCTTTAATAGTTACTACAACAAGTCAGGCTAGTCTGATTTTTCTGCGTAGCATAAATGTAGATAAGATGATGAAAAGTCTCTGTTTTCATGACTATCACCTTGAAAGAACCAACCGGAATTGCACTTCTTGAGTTTTACTCCCCACACCTACTGGCGAGAAAGCATGGCTATCGCGCAAAATTTTGAAAATGAGATATTGTCTTTTGGATGTTCATGACATGCATATCACGAAAATCCACGTCACTAGTTACAATCAGTTTGTCTGTAGTAACCGATACTCGCTTTTTTTGAGTAGTACTCGGTGCATCCCTAATAAACATCACACTATTTTTACAGGCCATGTGGGTCCGATGTAAAAGATTCACAAATATAGTGAATGTGCCCCGATTATAAATGTGTGGACGAGACCGTACTTTTAACTATCCATAGTGACTGAATGCCATTCCACTTATCTTCAATATTTATATCACAATTTGAAATAATTCAGAAAAGAAGCGCTATCCTGCATTCTGAACAAAGACGATAGGCTCTTAAAACAATAATCTAATTTACATCATACAGAAAAAAGGTGAAGGTGCAACGATTTAACAAGACCTATAAGTGCACATAAAAACGAGCCACAAGTCCACAAAACGATAAGAAGTGGTGCGTGCTGGGAGTCTCACTCAGTGTTGCCAGACGAATTCTGCTAAAAATCCCTAACATTCTATTTTTTTTCCCCTAGAATTCCCTAGATTTTTATTTTCTAAGTATACCCTCTTTTTTCTGTCTACTCGCCACCCCCAATTTTTCTGTATTACATATTGAATTCATAATATGATTTAAAAAAAATATATTAAAAATAACATTTAAAAATAAAACTTTATTAGATTAAAAAACGGAATTTTCTTAATTATCTAACTTAAAATAATACATTACTTGCCACTAATCTTTTGAGTACAAATTTTTTTGGCTCATTAGTTTAAGATGCTCACTAGTTACTTTAAATGACTGGCAGCAATTATCAGACGAAAATCTTGTAACACATACGGCATTTAATGATTCACTTCCTATTTTGTTTCTTTTTTTTTTGTTTTCGTAGAGGGTTGATCCCTACGATTTTAAAAATATATCAGCTGTTGATTACTTATAATATATTATGCAACTTACATTTGATCAGAATTTTCTGCTGTATCGGACTCCATCATCACAAAACTAAACTTAAAAACTTTGAACAAAGATTCTTTTTTAATTTGACCGTCCTAATATTCACATTAAACGCACTCAAAAACGTCGCGTCACACTTTAAGAACTGGGTATGCGTAATACAGTCGTCGGTGGCGGCAGGTGGCGGAGAGTTTATCGGTGATTCACTCAGAAGATGTGCAGTGCAACCAACCTTGTAATTAGCAAAGCTGTATACTGTTTTATTTAACAATTATGTTAACATTGTCCGTTTATGTTTTTGCAATATAGATTGGAATTTAATTATTCATTAATCTTTTTTTTGAAACGGTAGAAAATCCCTAGAATTTCCCTATTTCCCTAAAAGTCCCTAGAACTAGAAAACATCGTAAATTCTCCCTAGATCTAGGGAGAATTCCCTAGAAATGGCACCACTGGTCTCACTAAAGTTTTTCACTGAACACGTATCTGAAGTCAAAATTACGGGAATATGGAAAAATATGAAAGCAATTTAAACACAAAATTTTTTAAAATTGTGTTTGTGGTGGATGTGCATCTATAGGAGACCGTCAAAGAGATGCACATCCAGCAAAAATATCTAAATGTGTGACCTTAAGGGTTGAATTACTTTCTTATTTGTCCTACGACCCCTAATTTTGACTTCAGATGAAAATAGTGGGACCCCATCTCTGATAGTGAAATGTATAATTTAGTAATATAGGATATAGCTTTCGCTCGTCCGACAATAGACAACCAACCATCTACAGCTGTTTTGTGCTATTTGGCAAGTCATCAGCATGGTCTAGGCTTGGTCTTAGGTAGTTCCACGAGCTGAGCAACAGTTCTCTATCCAGGATATAAGGTCTATCGAAATAAGATAGATATTACCATCTATTACCAGAAACCCAATACGCATTGTCAGGCAAGTCACTGCTGTGGCCGCTAGATGCCGCCGATTCTGATGCTAGCGTAGATACGGTCTGCTCGCCAATGAACAAACTAGTAATACAGCTGCTGTTTTCCGTCTCGCAGTGGTCGATTCTGGTAATAGTTGTAGTGTTAGAAGGGCAGTTGCTTAGCTTTCGTCTGTTGCCCTACCTGAAACCAAGCATAGACCATTCTGATGACTTGTCAAACGGCACAAGAGCTATATTACCACTTTTTTCAATGACGAGTGGACAATATCTATGTTATAGCACCAGAATCAGCGGCATCTAGCGGCCACTGTTCAAACAGACAATTAGATGCTTACTCTTACTCACTTACTCACTTCGCAGTGGTCGATTATGGTAACAGATCACGCTGAGTGCTATCTTATTTCATCAGAATCAATTTGTATCTCAACGTCCAAGGTTCTACATTTATTTCGTTATAATTATGACCTACTTCTGAAGACCCACCCCACTCTACTTACTTTCTATATGCATACAATCCCACGTAGATTTATGACACTTCTGGCTTATGATACTGACAGAAAATCCATATTTTCACGAGGATTAAAAAGAGGCGTTTATTGATCTATCGTGAATACCGGGACTGAATATACACTTCCTGTTGCTGAAAGATCTTTTGTGTTGGCTGCCATCCGTTATATCATATGAGCATACTTAGTAGAACAAAGACGAGGTGGTATCGCGTTTCGGATATAAGTTGAATGGGACCTTTGTTTTTTCAGCTTTGTTCTCTTATGTGTCTATTATTGATAACCTTTTGTTGTATGACTGATTGAGATGCTTATGGAAAATATTGACCTTTGCTTCTCATAACTATAATTTGCCTAGCATAAGCAGGCAGTAAGGATAAAAAACGTGACTGTAGAAGCTACATAATATACAAAAATGGCTTCAAGTAGGCTGACTCTTCACTTCCTACGCAACGCCGTGGTCAGTTCATAAGGAATTGAGTTCACCACAAGTTAAACTTTCTGAGAAGATTAGTTATGAGCATGCACAAAAGTAAAATTAAGCCGATCAAGTAGGTCAAACAGGCCCATAAACTTAGTCCATAGACATTATTTTCCTGTCCTATCGGTAGTTCCCGTCCATCTGGCAACGGTGCCCCTTCCCATATCGTCACTCGTGATCAGATCAGATAGCAGAAGGAGACGAAAACATTACTCGAGCATTCTGTTTTAGCTGCAAATGTACGGGGAAATCTATGGTGTGTGAAATATGGCTAATAAGTGTTTAAATTTACCTCACTTGGGAGCGTATAAATATAATAACAACAAAACACTGATTTAAAAGGATATTAAGAATAGCTAAAGGTATGTAGTACGTTCAACGTATTTAAAAAATATTTGTGCAGAAAGTATGTAGTTTCCAAAAGCCTTCCGTGATTTTAAATTAGGTGATAAGGCCAAGTCTTTAGTGAAAATGGTTAATCATCATTAATTAAAATTTTGTTCTCAAACAAGGATACAAAATACATATATTTGAAACAGATACAGAAAAACTAAAAAAAGAATTATATAAAACCAGAAACTTGTTTAGCTGATAAAACTTCAACCAAACATCTTAGTGATCAAATCTGATGAGAAAGACGAACCTAAAATCATTCAGGAACATATTTTGGTATTAGAGTATGTTCCTTATAAGCCTTAAGTTCAGTTCAGTCAAGTTAACGCTAAGAATTAAGTGAAGTTAAATTGAGTGACGTTATAAAAGCACCATTTGACTTCGCTGTAAATGACAATTTTGTTTTAATGTTAGCGATTCGTAGAAATGGATGTCACCATTCCTATCCGAAATCAAATTATGTTAAACGCAAATAGGTACGCGATTGCGTTGAATGTATTTTACATCCGGCAAAACGACGTCGCAGTAGCTGTAACAAAATGCTGTTCCAACATATACCTATACAGGTAATAAATTGTTATAATTTATCCTGGCACAGTGCCAATAGTAACCAACGGCTTTCTCGTGGATATTGTTTGCTTCCACAATAACGCAAAATGAGTGCCAAATTACAACGATTGATTCCACTCCTCTTTTACATGTGGCAAAGGTCAGGGTTTTGCTATTTTCGGCCACACGGTTCGCCAAGCCTATTCCTATATCTGAGCAATTCAATTTTGATGTACGGTATTGATGGACTTGATAATTATAGCAGACACGTCTATATCAGAAAATGTACAGGCAGGGGGTGGTGGCGGCCGAAATCCTGAATTTAAGTGAGAAAAGCTAATTTTCAAAAAAAGAAGTGATAAAAGAGTAAGAAGTAGTGAATTTATACATAAAAAGGTGAGTTAATTTTCCAAAAAATTGAATATCATATCGCCAAATTTAAACGGATAATATAAATAAAAATGTGTGTTAAAACGAGAATAATCTTATATGTATGAAAGGTCTTTGTTACTGTTTTATTTACGTAAGTAAAAATAATTATTCATACGTATGCATATTTTAAGATCAAAAGCATACGATGCGTAAAAGAAACATAAAATATATAACAGTGTATCCCTTTCATTTTTCGACAGTTACCTTCATCAAAGAACTCAGTGTGTTTTTCTCAATCAAGAAATATCTCAAGTGACAATAATTCCCTCAGGCGTACCTCAGGGCTCTGTATTGGGGCCGCTTCTGTTCCTCATATATACGTTCGACTTAAGCAAAAGTATTGATAATTCTCATGTCCAGTCATTTGCAGACGATATAATTGCTTCATTATTTTAACCCAGATAATGTCAATAATACTACTCAAATTTTACAAAACGATGTTAATAAATTAATTAAATACACTTTAGATCACAATCTACTTATTAATCCACAAAAATCTAAAATGTTATTATTTTGCGCACAAAGAAAAACATACAATGTAACACAGCTCTTGAACATTCAGATAAATAACCAAATCTTGCAATTTTCTGATTCTGCAAAAATTCTTGGTGTTGTTTTTTATACAAAATTAAGCTTTATTGAACATGTTAAAAGTCTATCTCAGAAAACCTAAATACGGCTGCGCACTCTTATAGCAAACAGGTATTTACTAAATTTTAAGTTGCGTAAAAAACTATGTGAAGCGTTGGTCATATCTATACTAAATTATTGTAATATCGTTTACTATACTTGTTTAAACAATTTCACTAAAAACGTTATTCAAGTTATTCAAAATAATTGTATACGATTCATTTTTGGCTTACGTGAATTTGATCATGTATCAGCGAAATATCCCGTTCTAAACTGGTTAAAAATTAATGACATGGTCAAGTATCACTATTCAGTTTTTGGTCACAAGTTGCTGCTCACGTCTAAACCTTATTACTTGAAGGAAAAATTTCATTTAATAATGATGTTCACTGTAGAACTCTCAGAGAAAATAGTATTAGAATACCCCTGCATACGTCTACACTTTTTAAACGCAGTTTTTCTTACAATGTTGCTGTTATTTATAATGACCTTCCTAAAGTATATAAAGAATTTTCATTACCTGTCTTTCGACAAAAAGTTAAAACATTATTACTCAACCCTCCAAACATATAATTTACGTAATCATTCATTTCTTTTTTATTCCATGTTTAATTCAGAATTTTTTGGTGCATTTGGGTTTGGAAAGTATACCCTTTTCTCTTTTTTTAAATTTTACTTTCGATGTAATGAACCAAATCTGTTTGTGGATAGTGTATTCTTTTGAACATCTGCTAGAGACTATATGGTTAAGTGTAAGAGTAGCAGCATGCTAAACTTCGCCATGTAAGTTTGACATTTGGCTATACTACAATGTAATTGTGGATAAATAAAGACGTCTATTATTATTATTATTATTAACAAATTCTTGTTAATGCGGGAGATGTACTTATATCTATTGAGTGTTCTTGCCCAATGGATTGAACCTACATCTTAGCGAACTAATGTTAAAAAGTGTAAATTTGATATAGTTATTATAGATGAGTATTTTTTACACAATAGTGGACTAACTTAATTATCAGACCGTAAGGTTAGAGTACTTGCTTATTGCGTTTCTCTCATCAAGCTCTTTCATTTGATACCCTAAGGAAATGATAAATCGTCATTATGTAGCATACGCCATATAAGATTGAAAATGGCAACAGCTAATTCATTATGTATTGTCAAGATCCAGACAAGCATACAAAATTTCAGCTCGATTGGTTAAGATTGATTGGTTCAAAATTCACTTTCAGGATTTGTCCCACACATGCATACTAACGAACTAACATACTCTTCAATTACTTATACAAGGCTTTTAAAAAGTGCCACTGTCAAAATCAAACGGTTCAGGGTAAATTCGTATTTTCTGTCTCTCTAAAAATACTCTGAATTGCCAAACTATCTAAGTAACATTTCATTAGTTACTTAAATGCGCAACTTTGCCTTCATAAACGATTTCGTATTGTATTGCTTACCGTTTCCGAATTTGAAATCCCTAGTGCAGATATATAGAGAGCTTTTAACAAAACTGGACTAAATTCAACGTAGATTTCAACTAATTCTCGTAAATACATATTGACTCAGCTTGGGTAGAAACCTTTAGATGAACAACTTTGTAATAGTTAATTTTTATAAAAAAAATCACTTCATTTAATTGCGTGTGGCTTGATAGAACGATGACAGCTCCTTCAAAAACGTTTATACACTATAAGATGTACAGCGAGAGCGAAAATATTGAGAAAAGTGAATGTTTTCAATGAAAAGTGAAAAAAGAGATAAAGATGAGTCGCCAGCATCACAGTACACAGTGTCATGCTTTAAATCGACCCCCGCTAACTTTTGTTTAATTGTGTAGAGAAGGTTTATACAAAAAGTATAGAGTATAATAGAATTACTTTTAATGATTCTACATATACGTAAAGTTAGTAGTGGATCAACGGAAGTCAGGTGATAGAGGTTTCCAAAACCTATCGAATGAACCCCTATATCTGCGATCTGAAATTTTATAGTTCAGGAGAAATTTCGAAAAAACGGGATAATGAACTTTCAATCGCAATTGCAACTAAGCCAGTAGGTTTAGGGCTGTGATTCTTTTTCTGAGATGAGCTAAATGGTTAGTTTCAGCAACGGTTATTTCACTTTTTAACGGAGCTTATTAGAAATCAACGCAAAAAATCATGAATTTATTTTTTTGTGAAGAATCTCTCACATCCCTCAACTTTGGGGATGGTAAAAAAAATCAGATTGAGAATGAGTCCGGGAAATTTCAGCTTGCTACGATAAGTGCCTCGCCTTACAAAATCTGTATGTTTGACGCAGGTGGGTATCTATACATGTAAACAAGAAATTCGATTTTACGAGCTACAGTCCAAACGACTTGATGGATTTTGACATATGAGGTACTGTTAGATTAGTCCTAGCAGTGCGAGTGATACTGTGCATATTAACATTTTGTAAAATCAAAATGGCAGATTTTTTACTCAAATAGCCAAATGAGCTTAATGACCTTGGGTATTCAACTCGGCATTCCAGATGCGGGAGCGTTCAATCTTCGGCCCGACCGAAATTACTAAGTTAGGCAATGGTCCAGCGCAGAATTTGTATCTAACGTTTGGCAGCTGAGTTGAATCATGTCATATTCTCCTCAAGATTTTGCAGAAATGCATTACTATTATGGTTCTGCACTAGAAAAACCTCGAGCAGCTGCTCGTATGTATCGAGAGATGGTTAGAAGAGGTGCACTACCACCGGCGGTATATCCCGACTACCGCGTTTTCTACGCGCCTACAATGCATATATGGAGGGCCGCATACCAGGCACTCATCGTCAGCTAGAAGCGTCGAGGATACGCCTAGAAGAAATAGAAGATATAACAGAAGCAGCTGAGAGAGATCCCTCTATAAGCACCAGAGCCATTGCTCGAAGCAGAAAGATATTCCATACTTCAGTGTACACAATACTACGCTAGGAGAACATGCATCCTTACCAGGTACAAAAAGTACAAGAATTGCTTCCAAGCGAACATTTTTTCGACAGCATCTTATGGACAGATGAATTCAACTTTAACCGAAATCGAATATTCAACATCCACAATTTAAATTCATGGAGCTTGGAAAATTCACACGCTATTCGCCGACACAGCTTTCAACGTCAGTTCGGCGTTAATTTATAGGCTGAAGTACTCAACAGAAAAGTAATTGGACCCTAACATTTGCCCGCCAGGTTAAATGGTCAATCATATCTTGCTTTCCTACAAAGCAGTTTGCATGACCTGATGGTGCCTCATGTCAGTTTGCACGGGATGTACGGCATTACTTAGACAGTGCCTTTCCTGTGCGTTCGGCGATTTTTTATATGGAGGTTTTATAAGGGGATTATCTATACATTTGAATATACAAATGTCAACCAACTGCGCCAGAAAATTGATGAAGCAAAATTAAAAATTATGGAAAACGCAAATTCGTTTCAAAGGCTAAAGGACAATTTTATTAGAAGGTGTCGCTTGTTTATAGAAAATAATGGAGGCCATTTCGAACATGTTCTTTAAAAGTTAGTTAAATTGAATTATCTTCTACATTTGTCAATATCACAATAGGTTCTGTACTTGTAAGTGGTAAGGATTCTATTGCGTTTCTTATGTTTATCGCATCACAACAACGAATGTTACATGATACACTCATCGTAGCAAGCTGAAATTTTGAGAGTTTATTCTCCATGGTTTGAAATACTAGTAGTTTTTATGACAAAATAAATAATGAGATACAACCTCAGTTTTTTTTACCGCCCTCCAAGGTTCATTCGATAGGTTTTCAGCTCCTCTATCACCTGACTTCCGTTGATTCACTACTAACTTTACACCCTGTATAAGTTTTTTTATACATATTCTTCTTACCCTACACACAACGTCTGCGTGTCAGCTTAGATACAATGAAAAATGACATACATAATAAAATGTAATTTGTTATTCAATCCTCATAAATCTAAGCTTGTTTTTTGTGATTCACCCCTAAATCCATTAATGAAACCAATTCTAAAGAGCCACGAAATCTACACCTGACGCAGTGGAACACCATTTCGAGGCCTGCAGACTAAACAATATTTCTTCAGAAGGTAGCAAGGTCTAAACTTTACCCGTTACTATCCATAAAGGCGAACATCGATTTGCCGTGGATTCGAACAGAGTCACAGAGATTTGTTGGGAAACGCTGCAGTTCGAGCATAATCGAACAGTTTTCTGATTTATTTCTCGTTTTGGTGATATATTCTCGTTATGCTATCCTTGGAAAGGCAACGTCTTGTTTAAATGAAGTTAAGACGAAGCTGAGGCGTCAGCACACGTACAGGAGTCTTGCTTGTAATTACTCGACTCGTCAAACCAACTATATATACCTAATCATTTCTTGTCAATAGCTGATCCATGTCTCCTTTAAGTGATTGTACAGGAGGAATATCTCAGTACCAATAGTCGTGTGGCGGTACAAGTAAGCCAATGGGCCACTTTAAGTCTACTCAACATCATTCACAAGCAAAAAGAAGGTGGTAGACAAGTACCACTCGGCCAAGGCGGTGCCACCCGCTAGTCTTTTTCATGGTGTCTTAAGAATATCCGCACGTTTCCACACCTAAGCTATGCATGCCGGTTTTATTATTTTTCCCCTTCCCGTCCTCAACAAAAAATGTTGATGGATCCCTCGAGTACTAAGAATTCCTTACATAAATTCACTCCACTCCCGGAATGTCCGGGGGCGGGTGGACTCGAAGGAACAACATCTTCTTCACGAACATCTGCGGCCGATACGACCGCTCCCTGGTTACCCTAAGGCAACGAGATTGTGGAACAATCGGCCTGAGGAGGCTTTTCTTGGACAGTTGAAAAATCTGATTAACAGAGTTCCTTTAAGCTTCGGATAGCAGCCGTGGTAGTCTGGTACCTACGCTTTTGCCTGTGCGGCTACTTCGGTATACAAAAAATCCCTTATCATGCTTTTTTGACATTTCAACCATGTCCTTGCGTATCAAAATAGCAGCTGGATGAGGTAATATGCTGCGATGCGATCATATTTAATACTCTAACCTCTATTCTGAACTATAAGTGAATAATAAAACGGAATGACAGTGACTAATGTATTTCGGAACAGTATCAATATTGGAGACAAAGTGAGGTATACTCATGTGCATGTATATATCCAAATTTCGATAATTCGATAATCATGCCATCTATTTCTTGCCTGCTTTTTTCCACTATACTCACTTAATTTCGAATTTCCTGTTCCGTCAGCATATTCCGTGATTTACTTCAATTAAGCTTCAGCAGTCGTCTGAAAAAAGCGGTAAAAGGAAATCTGGCTAAGGTATAGTATTCCTGTAAAAAGCTGGAGTTGCTGCACAAACTTCATTAAATAAATTGGACTTCAACCGTGTGCATGTTTTTGAGTAATTTGAAGACATTCCCTTGGTTATTCCCACTTCTTGCACTAACGACCGTGTATAGTCAATAAGGTAAAAATAGAAAGCCTGAATATACTATTACGAAAAATTCCTCTTGCACCTTGCCTTCATAATATGTTTGTTTTTGATAATGGGATATTGGGCTGTTTTTAGTTCCCACGCCACACTGGCGAGCAGGTGCTGTAACCTTGAAAAAATTTAAAACTAAGATATTCTGTTTTTTTGATGTTATATTATGTACATCACGAAAATCGTGTCACTTATTTCCGTTTGTCTGTTGATCTTTCTGTTTGTCAGCAAAATCCTTGAACCGCCTTTAACTTGGGAAGTACTGCTTAGATTTAGATGACATTTCCATGCAAGGTTACTACCATGCCAAGGACGAAAAAGCTTTTAGGGGTACAAAATAGGTGGTGTGTACTTTTTAGTGGGTTGGGTAGGAAGATATCGCAACTTTTTGATGTTGTTATATTAATACACTAAACCCCGGTAATTCTGCGCACCTATTAGACATATTTCACACATCATTTCCCTGTACATTTTTCGTTAAAGTTAAAACTATAGAAAAATGTCTCTGAATCCTCAAAAAATATATAACATTTGAACAAAGACTTTAAACATAAATATATTTGCTTAAAATATGTATTTGAGTGTCCCCTCTCCTTAATTATATCCTGTTCGTATTACTGAATACATTGACAATCAATACCGCCTCATGTATATCAAAATTAATGCGAAATTACACAAAAGCGTTGGCGTCGCTAGGAGGTACAAAAGAGTATAAGGTACGTCTCTGTCACTTGATGATATGGTGCATCTTGAATGTCACTAACTGATCTGCCGATCATTGCTGTTACGTTCTGCCATCGAGTAATTGTGGAAAATAGTGGATCTGTCAGTGTAACCACACACTAATATATTTAATTTAGAGTCCCTGAAATAAATCTTATTCTTTTGGCACTGCCAGCAAAAAGCAAGAGCAGGAACAAAATTACTCTTAAGCTGTATTATGAGATAGTTTAAACTCGCACATCCTATCAACAAGCCTTCCTTAACTCGTCCTTAGTCTTACGGAGTTCAAGTTTTAACATTATCAAACACATGCCGAAATATTTAGATCCACAAAGACAAAATAAGGATTCGTAATCATAGGGTTATAATAACGATGTCTACCTTCGTATGCTCGGATATAGAATTAAACTTTCTGTGTCTTATTTTTATATGCTTATCGAGGGCCTGGACTTGTTGTCATTTACTGTAGCCTCGGTAGTAAACGATCAAAGAAAAGGTAATTTGTTCTGCTGAAGAATCGATGGCTATCATTATTATGTACTATCCGTTATGTTCATTTGTGTCGCTCAAATATAATAGTTCTTTTCAAATATAAAAAATACAATGGTGAAAACATTTTATCAAGATCGCTATAATATATTCAAGCATTATGGCTAATAACCTGGTAATGGAACATACAATTTTTGCAAAACCTCACAAGATAAAAATTTGTCTTCCGACCCCAAGTTTTCACTTCGGATTCATGTCCAGCGTGAACAACTATATCGGAAAAAAACACAGTGGTACACACCACGTTATTTACCAAACAGATAGAGCCTGTTTGTTTCATTGTAGGTTTTTAATTAATTTGGAAACTCTAGTACTTTGGGACACCATTTCCGCTCGCCTACTTTACATAAAGGAAGTATAGATACCAAACTACGTTTTATGAACGATGTTGCTTATTCATAGTCTCACATTAAGCGTTGTAAAAAAATCATTAGCATAAGGATTTCGGTACCAAAAGATCCAGAACGAAGCAAACATGATAGTATACACTACAATGGATCCAGAAAAACTTCCTAAGTTCAACCTACACTACGTATGTTTAAAGGTAAGAATAAATAGTAGCAGTTAGTAGGATAATACTTTTCGCAGAAGAAAGGTTTTTTACACTGGATCAGAACTTAAACAGTTGGATACCGAGGCTCCTATACAAAACTGCTTAGAAGGTAAATGTCCCAAACTTCAGCAGATTAAGGAACTTTTTATTTGTGTTTTTTTACTACAAATGATTGCGGGTATATTAACACTTGTTTTTAAACCACTGTATTACGGTGTCACCACTTAACAATGTTTTAACAAGAAGAATTTTGTTCATTTGTTTATTTCCCATGGCATACTAAGTGTTTCGGTCTTGGGAATTAAAATTCTAGATATTGTTAAAACAACTAATGACAGGTGACAGAAATATCAAAAACTTAACATTTAATGAGATTTAAAAATGTGTAGATTTTTAAAATAATCATAATTTTTATAGGCTTGCAGGCAAATGTGGACATCACCAAAAATGTGTTGTCAAATATCATAACCGCGATTACTACTAAAATAAAAGACACACACTCCTTCCTAGTGCATACTCAAAACAATTAATCAAATTTTAAACATTAATGTTTAAATAGTTTACTGAATTTTGAACATTATTACTAATTTATGTTGTTGTTTTATTTGGTAATTAGTATAATTCACGTGATTTTAGCTCATAAGTATTTTTTTATCCTTTGAGCATTGAGTTATTTTGCACAACCTACTAATACCGGAAGCTGAAAAATACAGCAAAATAACCTGTAAGTTTTGAATTAAAAGAAAACAGGATTGAAGTTTTTTAAATTCTCGTAACTAGTAGCTAGTACCTTTCATGGTCAATGACACCTCCAAGTTATACCCTCCTAAGTTTTATGGTGATCATGATATTCAATTGTTTTCTGACCTCTAGTTTTTGCAAAAATGGCCAATTGTGGCTAATCAGTTGGTTTTAGATATCAAGTATGATACACGAAGTTGTAACGGTTTCACCGTCCGATCGTATTTATTAAATCACTTCTCGATTATCATTTCATTAATCCCATCTCTAGCTTTTTGCTTGGAAAATTTTCCGCTTGGAGCGCTTGATGCGGAGTTCCTGATCTGCGATCTTCCTCGCGCTTCCTTTTCACCTGAGCCGCCGATCGAACAACGGCTAGAAATTTCTTCTCAGTAGCACAAGGTTATATAGCACCATGTGCTAGAATTTTCTAGAATGTGTGTCCGTATAGGACAAAAATGGTGAGTTTTATAATACTATACAGTTTTATTGCTGGATCTGCCTGTAGCTTATAGATAATCGATATGTAAGTGATTTATTTCTTGTACGATTTTAAAATATCCATCGAACGTCATTTTCGACTACTTCGATCATTCGCCATAACTTTAATCAAATCGAGGTGGAAATCGATCCACATCGATTTTACCTCTGTGCGCGTATATATATTCATAGTTCAGTGAAATTATAAGTACGTTGATTATGAATATTCGATGATTATGTTTTTATATCAGAAGCATGTGGAGAAATTTTTGATGACCACCATCTTGTTCTACGCTTTTTTTTGCTATTTCATGATTTTATTTTATGAAAGGCATTTCCAATTTTCGGTTTGATTTTATCAAACTATATAATGTAATTCTAACCTAGAAAATCGTTGGTTCTCTTTTGAGGCAGACTGAGATTGGAAATGCCTTGGCCATTAGGGCACGTTGCTAATGCACACGGTTCTTTTTCAGATTGGGGCCACCCCCTTTCTCTTTCCCTTTCACTTTGCCTAGCCTTGGCCAATATTTTCACCCATGCATGTACCTTGGCAGCGCCATCGCCTTTAACTTCGCCTACAACTGGTTGTGAAGCCACTATATGGAGGTCACCCCTCATAACTGGGACCTCCCCTTCAAGCCCCTGGCCATCCTGGCTTCAGTCGAGTAAAAATGGACCAGCGAAAGATAAGTCGATAGCGTTATAGCAGCGCCAAAGATGTAAAACTTATTTTGTTATTTTTGTAAAATTGTAATGTAATGAAAATGCCTTTTTTTTTGTTAAATAAAATCTGTTAAATTTTTGTGTTCTGTTTGTTCTTCTATCCTCTAGCCATGCCATGGTCGACACACAGCTACACGCCTGTAGATGTCTTCATGCCACCGACTGAGCTACCGGAAGCTAATTGTAACCCCCTTTGTGTGATTGTGCAGAAAAGTTGGAATCTTCATTGCATTCCATCTTTTCTGGACTTTTTGCGGAAAGGAAGTGTTACAAAGTCACACTAAAATTAACCAGAATATCCAAATATGCAATAATATATACGCGTTTCGATTTAAAAGTAGAACTTTGACAAGGATCACCCTGCATAAATGTTAAAATTAAAGTGAGGTAAATATTTTGGATTTGTAGCCCTAGGCGCACTCAGCATAATCCAGTGATGGGATTTAAAAACATGTGTCAATAAACACGAACTATTGGGCCACCATGTATATCTAATATTTGTTTTCAGGCTGGATACAGAGATTTAAATATGGTATCAAAAATGTTCATGTGGATTACAACAGCATTGGTGCTATGCTATTGTGGGCAAAAGATAACAGATTCGGTAGGTATTTACATACCTATACCCCTCCAATCGAAAAATCCAAAATATAGCCATGGATAGCTAAAAATACAGCCTTACCTGCCGCCATCTTGAAAATCGGAAATTACTCCATATTTTTAAAACTATTGGTCCTAGCTAAATTCGTAATAGCAAAGTTTTAAAGAAATAAATTATATAGTTTTTGTTTATTTAAACCAATTGATCAAGAGGTTTTCTGATACATATACATATAGTGAAATAACATCGCAAATAACTGATATGTCAATAGTAAAGATATTACAAATATACGACATTTTTTAGAGAGAAGTTTCATTTTAATTACTAAACAAATATATTTATTGGTTTTCAACATTCTGTATATAGAGACCTTTGTAATTATAAATTTTACGAATTTTATCGCATTCTTGAGTTGAGTACTCGGTGCATTTCTTTCTGGCTTAATTTTGCCTTAGATGCAAAGATTACATACAAGTATGAGAAACATATTTCAAAAGACGATATAAACGAATATTTCCTCAAAAAATTAAATGAAAAAATAAATAAGGTTCTATTGAAAAAATACACAAAATGTATTCACCATGAGAAATTATGATATAGCTTCCATTCGTCTGTATTTTCATCAGATTATGGATTATGGCATACCGTTGGTATTTCTTGAATCAGTTAGATATTTGTATATCTCCAAAAAAGGGGGTACTTCCAAAAACTGGAAGACTTTGAGTGTAGTGAAAACTAGACCACGAAAATAGATGAAAACCAGAACTTACGCCACTATTTTAAAAAAACTTAATTGAATTTAAAAAAGCTATTCTAGGCATATGTATCTTAACTTTCAATCTACCTTTGAGTGAATTAGGGCACTTATCGGTCAGTTTAGAAAGCTGAAAATAATTTCCAATATTTTTTGGCTACTTTTATAATAAAATCTTCTATCTGGTAGCTCTAGGTCCAATGGTTGACGATATACAGCCGGATGATATGCATAGCCCTGAATATATTTTTTTGCACCAGGAGTTAACGTCCCATTAGCCAGGTCCAATTGTTTTTTTTAATTCCTAGACAATTACATGACGCCACTACATCCATGGCCACCCAGGTCCCGAGCCCTAAGTACAAATTGTTCTAAATATTTCAATCGAATGAATTCTACGACGTTCTCAATAGCTTACCATGGTATTCCTGAAATAAACAAAACAAAAGGCTATATTTGTTACTCTTGCTGAATGCCGAAAAAGGAATGGCCTACAATTTCTTTGGACGTAGGCACATCGATTATGTTTACCTGCAGGAGGTAAGATGAAGAAGATGAACTTGCATGTTTGAAAGGATTACTTTTCTTCGGACGTAAAATCGGACCATCTAGCTCTGGAAAAGTCGCAGAGAGAGGAAGAGAGAGAACGGGGGAGACAGCTAACTAGCCAAAATTGGACACTGTTCTAAAAAAAAATATATACCTAGATGAATTTGACAACGGAATTATATTAAGGGTGAAACTTCCGTATAGAAGTAGAACCTAATTGGTAACTAGGTAACTTTTTTATTAAGCTTCAAGTTTGTAAAAATCGCTTTTTCACAAATATTAAAAAAGTTTTAAGTATTGATCTGAGTGGTCTAGAGAAAAGTTGTAGCGGATGGAAAGACCTATAAAAATAGACCTCATTTGTCAAAGAAAACGGCACAAATCATAAGATACAGAGAAATTGGATAAATTTGCAGTATGTCGTTTGTACATTATGATCTAAAAATATTCAAAAATGATCAGTATCCTCTGATAAGTTTTTATTTTTTCGTTTTCGGCCTTTTTCTGTGGCCCTACTGTACCGATTTTTAAAAGCTATGAAGCTTTTTCGTCCATGACGTAGTAGTTACATTGTGTAACAATTTCATCCAAATCCGAGCCGTACTTTTCAAGTTATAGAGGGTAACCAAGGATTACCGAACATACATATCATATAACAACCAAAAAACATAATATCTCATTTTCCAAATTTTTCGCGATCAATACCTCAATAAGTGAAAAGCACCTAAGTCGTACTTCACTAACAAACGTTGTGTCTGAAATACAGTAAATTTAAGTCCAAAAAAAAATGTAATAAAGCAAAGTATGACGTACCCTGCTTTGTTAACAATGTGAATTGAAAAAATACAGATGTCACGCAAAAGTTATGGTTCTTCAATACCTCAACAATACGCCAGGATAGTCGACGTGCCAATGTGCCATTTAAAAGAATTCTCGTGGTTCTGCATACTTTCACTTGGGTAGCTTTGTTCGTAATTCCGCGTAGATCTCTCCGATAC